TCATTCCTAACCTGATGGTAAGGCAATTGTGAGCTCCTGTACTAATCCAAGGATCCCATAATCATTTTTTTTTTAACTCAAAGACATTCTCACACAAAGTTTTCTTATAGCCACCATGCAGAATGCTCGGCTTCTAAGCTGCAGACAAGAAGGTCTGCATTCTGCACACATCGCATTGTTGCAGCTGCCCTCAGTTTCCCAGTTGGGCGGGTTGCCATGAAGCAGTCTGTCAGTCTGAAGCAGATTAAAGAGCTGCCATGGCTTCTGCTGACTCGTTGCTGGTACACAAAGTAGCAACTTTTTTTTTCTTGGACCCTGGAGAACCAGTCATGTAGGATCTTAATAACAATTAAACATACTATTAGACATACTATTAAATACTATTAAATACTAAGACATACTATTAGACATACAATTAAATATACTATTAGAAACGGAAAATTCCACATGCATTAATTTTCTAGGGCTGCCGTAACAAAGCACCACAGACTGGGGGGCTTAAACAACAGAAATTTATTTTCTCACAATTTCTGGAGGCCGGAAGTCTGAGATCAAGGTGTCAGCAGGGATGATTTCTTCCGAGGCCTCTCACCTGGGCTTGCGGATGGCCATCTTCCCCTGTGTCCTCACATGGTCTTCCCTCTGTGTGTCTGTGTCCCAGTCTCCTGTTCTTATAAGGACACCAGTCAGACTGGATTAAGGCCCACCCTCATGACTTCCTTTTAACGTAGTAGTTACCTCTTTAAAAGCCCTGTCTTCAAATACAGTCACATTCTGAGGTCCTGGGGATAGAACTTCAAGCTGTGAATTTTGGCGGGGACACAATTCATCCTGTAACGGCCCCTTTATATTCAATTTTCTTTGCTGCTGTGGTTCTCAGGTCCATCTGCCACTGATGGGCTTTCTCTGAAGCACAGGCATGTCATTAGCCTCAACTTTTCTAGGGTTTCATTTGTTGAGGGTGAATTTTGGACATATGATTTGAACACCAGTTTGTGAGTAAAGCACAATGTGTATTTACAAATAATGACATTGATTGTATTGCATATTTTAACACAATTTTAAAATAGAATTCTAAAGATCAGTCTGAAGAATGACAGTACCTTTCAAATAAGTACACAGCTTCTAGGAGAGGTAGTTTAGTATAGTTTAGTGGTTAAGAGAGTGGATAGCTTGACTGTCTGGGTTATCATTGAAACTCCCCTAGTTACCAGCTGGCTAATCCTGGAAAAGTTACTTAAATCTCTCTTAGTCTCTTTGGCTAAGTTTTCTTGTCTGAAAATGTGGATATTTATAGTCCCTACTTCACAGAGTTATAATAAGAATTTAAAATGCTCATCTATGAGAAGAATCAGGAAGAGCGCCTGGTATATAGTAAGTGTTCAGTAAACGTTGGACTCTTATTCGCAAGGCAGCTGCTTTCAATGAAGATACTCATTTGAGTAGGTTAGGTATGATATGTTTCATAAAACATATGTGCTACTTTGTGTGGACAACTTAACGTGTTTCCAAGGTACAGTGTGATGTGATCTGAGAGGATAGTTCTTATTTGTTATGAACAATATGCAGGTGTAAAAGAAACATAGGGATTCGTTTTAATCATTAAAGTACATTGAACTCTTGTCTATCAACATTCAGCTGTTCTGATTTGCTGGTTTTCAATTTGTATTCCTGCTCTTGGAATTATGGTTTGGGGACCACAGTGTGATGGCAGTAGCATTGTGTGTGAGGTGGACTAATGTGACATCATTTGTATCCCAGGCCAGACACCTACTTCAATCAAAGCAGATCTCCTGTTATCTGTAGTACATATTACAGTTCTGTGGAAACTTTTGTTTGAGAGAGTTCTACTGCTAAAAATAGCCCGAAACCCACTAGTGTAGTATATAGATTACTCATATTCTTCTGCCCCCCTATAAATGCTTTTAATCTGTGAATACCCCAGGGATGGAACTAATATTAATATTAGCTTGAGCAAAACATAATTAGGAAGGTAAATCTACTACAAAAATAATATACCATAAATTAAATTAATTATATATAACTCAAATCAAATATGAAACAATGCATTCAATTATCTGCATCACTGCCTCCTTCCACTAACTTGGATATTTGAGGGAAGACTAATTTTCTTTCTGGTGTAAGGCCAGATATGAGCCAAGACCAATGAATTGCATCAACCCCTGGAAAGATGGTGCTTGACCTATTTTTTTAGTTTGGTATTTTTGGCATTAGCTAAAGGCACTGCTGTTTTGGTCAGCTAAATTTTCAGTATCAGTAACAGGACCTACTACCTATCTATCTTCATTGTTAATGCATGAACTAGTCTTCGTGTGTAGTGGGGAACACCTATTTATAAAATACTGTTAAATGCTCTTATAGATTCAATGTGGTGAGCCATTTATTAGTTGAATGGACTCCCATGAGCCCAGCAGGGGAAAGTACATTTCTGCCCAAGGAAGGTTTTCAGTCTGGACAATAGGCATTAGCAGCCCAAAGCTGGTGCTGCTACTAGAATCAGAGGCAGAGCTAGTCGGGGCCCATGTTGGACACCTTCTGTACTTCCCAACATCCCAGTTGGTTTAATCTGCTCTGCTCTCCATGTCAGCGTGACACTCAGACTTACTAGTTCTCAAAATATCCGATCTCCAGCCAGCCAGAGCCTAGAATTCTCCAGGCAGGATTCCGAATGTTGTTTTCCCCTGGGTCCATATTGAGTACACTAGTTTTTGTCAGATGATGACTCCTGAATTCAGAAGAAAAATCTGGTGCCACATGCCCTGCCCATTGTCAACTCTCACTTCCTCCATTTGGGTTGATCTCAGCTCAGCTGGAAGATCCTCCTCTGTTGAAAGTAGGTCTAAAGTGGGAATGATTGATTAGCACGGACCTACACCAGTTCCCAGGTATTTGCAACTGAAACAAGTTTGCCTGTACTCAGAAATCACAAATTGTTGGAGGTGATAATATCCAAAAACAGTTCTTACAGTTGAAGAACAACAATAAAAATCCGCAAATCGGCAGCTTAGTTCTAATACTTTGCAATCCCTGCTGCAGAAACTTTTCCTGACACCCTGCACCCCTCCCCTCTCCCCTCCCAGCACATACCTCAGGAATCTCGATCTTTCCCCTTTTGCAGACCACTGTTTAATCCAGTAAGCACTCCTCTTCTATTACCTATAACACTTTCTTGCCTTGCTAGCAGCAAGTGGTTGAGGGTGGAGACCAAGTTGTTATGCTCTAGGTCCCTAACCTACTGGATGCCCAGCAGATATTGGAAGAATGAATGAGTTCGTGAATGCATGAATGCATGAAAAGCTCTAGATGGGATGTTTTCACTGCTTTTCGCATCGACGTAATCAAGGACCTATCCCCCCCTTTCCTTCCTGGCCTCCTTCATTCGTCCTGTGCAAGGCCTTGGACCTTAAGACCGGCTGACTGCTGATGGGGCCTGCCTGGTTTTGTCACATTCAGACTTTCTTCCTCCAAATCATCTCTCATAGTGCTGCATAACTAATTTTCCAAAAACTAAGATGTTTCTTTCATATTGCTCTCCTGCTCAAAAACTGAACAATTTCCCATTGTTTGTAGGATAAAGCTCAAAATTCCTTATCTTGGTATTTAATGCTAACTAGGGCTTGTCCTTGATATTCCTTTAAAAATTATTTTAATTGTAAATATTTCAAACATATTGAAAAATATAACAGATACTCATTTACCCACCACTGAGATTAAACAAATATTAGCATTTTCCCCATATTTACTTTGATTCTCTTTCCCTAAATAAATAAACAAGCATTACAGGTACAGATAGGCCCCTACCTCATCCTTCCCTCTCCCTCCCCACCAGGAATGATCATCTCCCCATTTATTTTTCACAACTGACGTGTGTCAACCACTGGGTCCAGTTAGATTCATCTTCTCCCTGGAATTTCATTCACCCTCCTTTTTCTTCTTTGAGGCCCAGTTCACTTTTCACCTCTTCCGATAAGCTTTCTCCACCAATCCACTAGTTTCTAAATTGCTCCACAAGTTATTGTCTCCATTGCTCAAGGCAGACAACATTCTGCCTCGTGACAGTTTTTATGTGGCAGTTTTCTCCTAGCGTGGGGTTTCTATTCCCCTTCTAGTAATCTTTTCCTCTTGCTTTATATTATAGTCGATTGCCTTCATGATTTCTTCTCTACTAGGGAACAACCTTGAGAATAAGATCTGAGCCTTAGTTCCATTGATTCATTCATTCTGCCGATAACCACTGAGTGCCTACTAAGAAACTCTAGGAATTGTTTTAAGCACTGGGGATACAGGTGTGAACATGACAGCTAGTCACTGCCCACCAGGAACTTATATTCCAATGGGAGAAAAGGAGAAACTACATGAATAGATGAATATGTCAAGGTGAAAAGTGCTAAGGAAAAAATAGAAGCAAGAAAAGCCTAAGGGGGTGCTATTTTCAGACATACTTTATGTATATGTATATATGTGTGTGTGTGTGTGTGAGTGTGTGTGTGTGTGTGTGTGTGTGTGTGTGTGTGTGTGTATCATCTATGCTCTGTGTCAATACTAAATGTGGAAGGCACTCAGTACAGATTTGTAGAATTGTGTAGTAGGTCCAAATAGATACCATTTGATTCCCTGCAGTGAGCCCCCACCCTATGTTCGGCTATCCTTCTAGGAAAGTGGTTATAGGAATGCAAATTTTAATCCTTTGCTGCCAGGAGCACATCTGAGTTGTTCTTCCCATTATCAGTAGATGTGCACTCTGGGATCATAATAGATTCTAATACTAGCCTAAGTAAAGCATAATTAGGGAGGAAAGACAAGCTTCCCAGCAGCATGGAATTCCACAGTCAAATGGAACCAATCTGGCATCATCTTTCTTCCTGCTCTTCTCTGGCCATCTAGCCAATGGAAGGGTCACTGTTTGCAGAGTTCCCAAACGTAGTGGTATCAAACTGTGGCTACCAACCATACCAACCTCCTCTTTTTAATTCTTCCAGCCTCCAAGAAAGAGTAAAATCCCTCAACTTGTCACTTAAAGAAATCACTACTAAGGTAAGTACTTTTATACTTCCGTTTTCCAAAGAAGTCTATAAAGTTTTCTTTTGACTTAATTTCACGTGAACCTATAGCCTTAAGGCCACATGTGGATTTCTAGGTCCTTAAGTGCAGCCTTTTGATGAATCTAAATTTTACAGAACAAATACTTTTATTAAAAGGGGTGCAGCAGAGAAAGATGAAGCTTTTCTTGCCTCCTTTGGTACTTAAAAGAGAACAATCTTGAAATCAGCAGGCCACAGGTTCCCCACCCCGATAGACTCTGGAAGAAACATAGACTTTGCCAAGCCGTTTTGCAGCCCCAGCAATGAGCCAGGGGGAGGGCTGCTATCGTGGCAGAGGTCTTGATTTGTGGTCCCCCAGAAATGGACAGGTTTGGCACTTGCTTCAGAAGGAGCTGTCAATTTGGGGATGGGAGAAGGACTGTTGCTATGTATAATGAATGCCTTTGCTTAAAAAGGCCTTCAGGATGGAAGTAATTTGAGAAATTAATTACTTTTGCTCCCAGGAGGGCAATGTTCAGGTTCTTCACAAGTGGAAACAGTATAGTAGGTGATTGTTTCTTGTCTTGTAAAGTTTTTCATTTGGCTTGAGAATCATTTTGCCTACTTTGTCGGCTGTTTATGTTTCCATATCAAGACCTTGGTTTATGTAGAGACAGAACATTTCTTCATTATTCCCTGAGAGCACACGGTCAATTAAATTAAATAGTCAATGTCCTAGTTAGTTAGGATAACCACAGTTTACAAACAAAAGCCCTTCCCTACCTACGTGGTTATACCCGACTGAGCCATTGGCAGACCAAGGAGCAGGATCAATTACTCTGTGAATTACTGCTGTTGTGGCAGAGAACTGGGTATGAATCATTAATTATGTGCAGTAGTCTGGGAACCAGAGGTGGTTATAAGATGGGTCAATATAAAAAGGACGGTTGCTGAGCAGAAAGCAAAGTAGCAGAGGAGAGCCTGCTGGCCTAGAAGGAAGTTCTTCTTCCTTCCATGCCCAGGGAGAGAAAGCCTTGGGCCCTCGATCAGGAAACATGATAAGGGTCTTGCTATTACTGTCGCTAAGCTGGAATTGGGGGTGTGTCATTGGTAAAAATATCTGCAGTTACTCTGGCCCTTTTTCATTTTTTTTATCGAATTCATTTCTGAAAACGACACCTAATGATTTTGCTGACACAGCAGCAGGTTGGTGGGTCGTTATACCTTGCATACAAGGAGAGCTTCCTGTTAGGAGCAAGTGGTGTTCATAACACGTCATCAGGACCAGGGACCCGGGAAGTCTTGACACCTGCTTTGCCATCCCTGAGAGCATCCTACGAATGTTCACCCAAAGATGGTGAGCAGAATGAGAGTAAGAGCAGTGCCAAGACCTGAGTGCCCCGGCACAAAGCCCAGGTGATGGGCCGTGCAGGGGCTGCGCTTTTATATCTCCTCTCCCACCTCCCCAGAATTCGCATCTTAGAATCGTATGTTGGCTGGGCCTGAGACATTTTCCCCTGCCCAACTAGAGGGGTACGGGAGACTCTCACTCGGTTTACCAATTTCGTTATATGAAGCAGGACAGGAAATGTTAGAGAGTGACCTGAATTTCTGCCTCATAAGTCACAGTGACACAGCCCACTAGTATTCACAGCCCTGTCAACATCTGCTACTGTGACCTCGGATGGAGCCAGTAGGGTGGTAGGGAGAGGCAAAAGCTTCTTGGTAAGGAAGAGGTGGTAGATGTTTCCTTCCCGTACATATTCTGTTGTAAATATGGGCCATTTAAATTTATTAGGTGCTTCCTAATTTCTATGTAGAATAAAAAGGTGAGAGGATGCTCTTGGGTTTGGGTTCATTGATTATCTTCAGAACACACTGTCTAGGTAATATGAATGAGTCTATACACTTGCAGTGAGTATACAGGTGTGCATATCATGTAATACAGATGGTACTTATATGCGTGTGTGTGTTGATGACATTTTATATTGTGGACACACATACACACATACACAATATTGGGATTTGTTGATAAGCTTCAACCACTGTTAAAGATCTTGGATTTGCCTGAATGCTAAATACAAAGACGGTTTGCAGACTGTCTTTGGCCACTCAGGCTGCTATAACAAAATACTGGGTGGATTGGTTATAAACAACAACAATTAATTTCTCACAATTTGGGAGGCTGGAAGTCTGAGACGAGGGTGCCAGCATGGCTGGGTATTCTCACACGGTAGAAGGAGGGCAAGAGAGCTTTCTGGGGCCTATTTATAAGGGCACTAATCCCCCTTCATGAGGGCTTCACCCTCATGACCTAATCACCTCCGAAAGGCTCCATCCCCTACTATCATCACCTTGGGAGTGAGGATTTCAACATGTGAACTTTGTTGGCAGGGGGCATAAGCATTCAGACCATTGCACATACCTTCCTTGATGCATTCGCCAGAAACTTATGATTACTTTGATTTTCCATAAAATTAAGGAGCTCATGTCTTAGATTTAAAAATGTAAATGTAACAGCTCCATTTGATAATGAGTTCCTTAGGGTCCAATTTTATTTGTAAATAAAAAGGAGATACAGATTTTCTGGGGTGTGTATATATGTGTGTGTGTGTGTGTAGGTGGACATGTATGTGTGCATATACATGACTTCATGTGTGTTTGGCCTGTAGTAGTCTACAGAGAATTAAAACAAAACTGCCCATCACATAAAACACCTTTTTTCTCCACTCTACACTAGATTTACAGGTGACAGTGAGGTAACAGTCTCAGCTTGACACAGTTTTCTTTCTCTGGTGGGTTAGACACACACACACGCACACACACACTAGATACTGTTTAGGTTCCTCCCTCAGACAGGGAGATGGAACCTTTATTGCACTCATTACGTTCCTTCAACTCTTGTGGGTTACCCAAACTAAAGGTAATTAAGGGATAAATGAGGTGGAAGAAATAGTTGGAAATAGATGGGATATCTGGAGATTGGTAGATATTAGATTATATCCAGTAGAGCCTAAAAGAATGGACATTGCAATTTAATAAGAAGATTCAGAGAGGTTGTTTCGTATTAATAGTGACAGCTTGAAGGATAGATTTGCTCAACAAAGGAGAAACTGACCCAATTATGATGAACAGATACTGTTAAGTAAAATCAGAAATATTGGACATAGATTGGATGAGACATAAGAATTATGGCTGGTGTTATAGAGTTAATGGAAATGCCCCTGGACTTCCGATGACATTCTTAAATGGATCGAATGGGATGTGCCAGTCACTGGGCATTCAGCTAACCAGAGGCTTCGTGCTGAGGGAAGGTGTCTGGGACATCTTCCTTTTAACTCTGGTTCTGACTTCCTGACAAATCTCAGGGCCGTTGAGAGGGTCTCAAAATTAATGACTATGGATGTGTGGATGCCCAAGACTACTGGTGCAGGCTTTGGTTCGGAGGCTGCCAAACCATTATCTTCATCCAGAAAATGAGCTTTATAAAGAGAGGTTGGATAATTACAACCTCTGAATGGCAAAGAACACGTGGAAGCCCATGAGAGAGATAGTGGAGTATTTTAGGAAGGAGGGGCAAGTCTGCTTTGACTCCAAAAATAATCTTAATTCAGTCTGAGATAAGCAAAACAATTCAAACTGATAATCTTCAGCAAGACCTAGATTCTTCTGGGAAACTATATTTTCTCTGGGCTCTGTGATTCCAACTGGGTTAATTTTAGTTTTGAATGAAATCTCAGGTTTTTGGCAAGAAAAGAGTGATGCTTCTAGGTAACATCTTTTGTGGACAACCCCCAAATATCTTCACAGATAAATTCATTCTTATCAAATTCATGCTCTGTGCTTTCATTGAGCTGGAAATTTTTCGAGATAGCTCAGTAGTCTGAGTATAGACAACATTTGAATATGAAATTTTAGTCTTAAATGAGAGAAAAAAAATGTGATGTTTTAGCCTCCAACAAAATGAAAGATAATCTGAAGGCATTTGGAAAAAGACATTGAGATTTAAGATTTTTGCTATTTTTGAAAAATCAAAGAAAAATGTAGGAAGTGTTTGGATATCATGGGAAAATCAATGATAAAAACCCTTAAACCTCACTAAGAGTTACTTGTCTATTTTTCATATCTAACTCACCAGCAAGTATCTATCTGTCCTCAAAGTTTCCTAGATAGTGTCTCCTAGTAGTTAAATTTAGCCCGAAGCTCTGACCTTCATCTAGATGGCCTTATCTTCATTACTGCCCACTATGTGCCTGGTGTGGAACCAGGTTCCTGCTCACAGAGAGCTTGTGTCCTAATAGAGAGGACTGTAAACACAAAGGAATGTCACAGAGGTATGTCAGCTGAGAAGGATGCCCTGGAAAAACATCAAAGGGAGGAGGGACAGGGAGGTTGCTGTTTTGGGTAGGTGATCAGCAAGGCCTTTTGTCCCAGGCAGTGATTAAGCAGAGAGCCCTGAGGATGTGAGTGCGCCACACCACCTGGAACAAGAGCGTTTTGGACAGAAGGAGTAGAGAGCAAAGGCCCCGAGAAGGGACAAGGCAGAAGCAATGAAGTTGTTTTAGTTTGGGGTTGCTCTGTTGTGCTGGCTCATCGGTTTTGTGCCTGAGTGTGGAGAAAGGGCACAGGACCTATGCTTGGAATATGCCAATGCCTGCCTGCCTTCTTATTTTTCTTTCTTTCTTTTTCCGTTACTTGCTTTTTAAACACTCTCCTCTGATTACTCTTTATTACCCCTCTTAACTACTTATAAACCCAGAAATCTCTGGCCTGGCTGCCCCATTGCCTTCTGGTTTTTCGTTGAGTAAATGACGACTCCTGGCTGTTTATCTCCGTCTAGGTGTGTATGGGTGAGAGACTCTGCAGCACTCTGAGGAAGGAAGTCAACGACATTGAAACCCGACTCCCGGCATTGCTTGAAGCCAAAATGCTCGCCATATCAGGTAACTGGCGACAGAGGCGCAGCTGAAGTGGTCAGACTGAAATGATGACAACCACCGCATCATGTTCTGTCCTCTGTTAACGGGCCACTGTTGCTGTTATGTCGTCCTCAGACATCTCAGAGCTTTTCTGGGAGTTTCACTAAAACCCAAGGAATACGTGGGCAGCATGATTTCCTTACAAAGGGGTAGATAAGAGTCTTAAACATACATATGCACACATAAGATAGCACAAGTTGTTTATGTAGGTATCAGATTTTGGACTTCCAGTTCCTGTTTCTTGAAGAGTTTAGAGACTAAGTGTACTCTGTGTGTCACATGATTTGAGCAGGTGTGTATAGGGCACCGGAACCTGTACTTGCTCAGTGAGGACTATTGGACCCATCTCTTCCTACAGGGGGTGGATGATAACATGACCCAAATGGAGGCACTCAGTGTAAACATCTAGTCACAGAAATTGGAGAATTCTCAAAAGATCATAGTCCCGCCCCTACTCTGGCAGTTATGGAGGGATATCTTTTTCCAATAATCAGTAGCTTTACAAGTCTCTAAAAACAGTATCTTACCCTATCATCTGAATATTGCTTTCCAACATTCCTCTGTATTTGTTAGTTTATTTTCACAATAGCTAGGTGGGAGAGAGACTGTACCTACAACAGTAGGTGGGAGAGAGACTGTTATCCCAATGAACAGAAGGGGAAACTGAGGCCATGGGCTGTGTACTTTGGTTCAATTCGCTCAATTAGCTAAGCAGGGGCACATCAGGGGATACAGTCCAGACCGGCTCGGTGCAGATTATGTGGATTTTTACCCCAGTTATGTAATGATGGCTTCAAAGGGTTCTCTGAGTCTTATAGGTTGGGTGAACCCACAGCTCATCAGCTTCAGAAGAATCATAAAAATTTAACAAAAAAGTATAATGATTACATATGTGGGTTTTAAATGGTATTTTAAGAAGGAATACAGTAATTGGCAGCTTCTGCTCCTCAGATCATTAAACAGCTAATGTTGGCAGCTAACGAGCAATTTGGTCCCCGGTGCAGTCACGCGTGTTATTTACAACCCGTAGAACATCACAGTGCGAATGGGAGATTTGGCTCTTAACAGCTTCACATGCCATTTACTTGGACTTATGGCCCCATTTGCTAAGAGAAAAAGAGAAAATTGAACACAATCTTGCTTCTGAGTTAGGGTTTTTGCCTTTCTTAATCAATATATCTTTCCCAGGAATACAGGTGGCTGAGTCTCTATTAAGCCCAAGGGAGGAGAAGTATAATTCAGACAGCAGAGATATCCTCGCTCCAATGTAGATAATCTTAGAATCCCAGGGAAAGTTCTTAAGATGAGCTATTGCGTGTGGAACCTGGGTGTTCTGTTTTAACTCTTTGATCAGCTGAGCAAATTGGTGAGGCCCAATCTGTGAAGGATGACCTGAGGTGACCGTGATGGGAACTAGTCTCTTGACCTCATTATTTCCCAATTACTCTTTGAGTGAGTGGAACTTTCCGTCAATAGGCTGTCCCTGTGTGTAAAACTGGTGGCAGAATGGTCATCATGCTTTTGCAACTTCTGCGTGCAGGGCTATTTCTATTTTCTCCTATTTCAGTAGCTTTAGAATTGCAAACCCTCACTCCGTTAGACAAAACCCACAATGAATAGCCTCTCCAAGAGAAGCCCTTCTCTATTTTGGGCTTTCTTTGAGAATACTGAGGGACAATGGCCTGGAGATTCTTAGAAGCCCTATTGAATGAAGAGGATCCTAAGAGATGCCCTTAAGATTCTTAGTGGGTCTTTTCTATGTCCTGAAGTTTCTATGACTCACTGTCTTAGATTTTGTAGACCTATCCTGGATTTGATCTATGGCCTGAAGCTCTTTCTTAATTTCAGAATCATTGACCATCTGCACAGACTGGGAATGAAAGATAGTTTTATTTTTAAACCCAGCAAGTTCTATAGCTCCTTTATATCTAACAGTTTATTCTTTAATTCATCTCTCTTCTCTTGCATTGTGTCATAGGCAGTGACAAGAAGCCAGTAGGCCTTTCTATGTTCTGCCTGCAAATCTCCTTGGATACCTAATTGAAATTATTAGGAACCCTTTTCTGTATTACCTCAGTTGATAACAGAGTGATGTTTTGCTGCTACAAGTTTCCTCTCTCCTCCAGCTTCCAATGCTATTTTTCTTACTTTCCTCTCGGTCTTCACAGATGTCTGTTAGGCCTCTGCCTACTACCAAGTCCCAAAGCCAATGCCTCAGATTTTAGAGTTTTGTTACATACAGTAGCACCCCATATCCAGATACCAAAATCTGTTTTTGTATTATCTATTGCTGCATAATGAGCCAGCTAAAGACTTAGTGACTTAAAATATCACCAATCATTTATTTTGCCCATGAATCTACAATTTGGGCAGGGCTTGGTAGAGACAGTGAGGACTGGAGGATCCGCTTCCAAGACAGTGCACACATATGGTCTGGCTATTGGTTGCTCTCTGTGTGGGCCGCTTTAAAGGCAGCTTGGCTTCCTTACAACATGGCTGCCAGGTTCCAAGAGTGAGTGTCCCAAGGGACTCCATAAGAAATGGAAATTTCTTATTTCTTAAGGCCTGGACTCAGAAACTGGCATGCATCTCTATTAATGTGTAATAGATGATAAATGACCCCAAAACTTCAGACCTTGAAACAACAAATCTTTATTTTCGGTCATAGTCTTGGAGAGTCAGGAGTCCAGAGTGACTTAACTAGGGGCTTCTGGCTCAGGGTTTCACAAAGTTGCTCTCAAGGTATGTCATGGGGCTGCAGTTATCGCAAGGCTTGGCGGGGGCTGGAAGAGCAGTTTCCCAGCTCATTCGTGTGGGTGTTAACAGAAGGCTTCAGTTTCTTGCCACAAGAGCTGTGCCATAGGACCACTCACAGCATGGCAGCTGGTTCCCCCAGAGTGAGTGACCTGAGAGAGAGAGAGCGAGTGAGAGCAAACAAGATAGAAGCCACAACACCTTGTTCGGATTTAGTCTTCAAGGTCACACACTGTCACTTCTGCTTTAGTGACTAGAAGCAAGTTACTCTTTCCAGCCCACACTCCAGGGGAGGGAACTAGGTTCCACCCCCAGGGAGGAATAGCAAAGCATTTGGTGGACACGTTTTCATAACCATTGCAGTGTCACTTTTCTTGTATTTTATTTGTCAAAAAATCTCAGGGCCCCGAGTCAATGGGGAGGGAAGTAGACGACAGCCGTCAATGGAGGTATGCCAAGGAGTTTTGGTGCCATGCTTTTAAAAAATGCCACAGTGCCTACTGAGCCAGTAGGATTTTGAGAACTAAAGATATGGACAAAGAGTTTTTTGGTCAGAAGAAATGGCCCATTTCACTTACTTACTCAAAAGAAAAATACCACTGAACGCTTACCAAGCGCCAGGCCTAGTTCTGAGTATGAGGACGCAGCAGAGGACAGGACAAGATCCTTTCTTTTATGAAAGTTGTGTTCTGCGCTTGGCTGGGGTAGAGTGGAACTGGGTGGGAGGAAAAGCTCAGTGTATTTGCAGGAGGGAGAGCCGTCTAGATTGGTCCAGGTATAGGATCAGTATTGTGGTAGAAGTAAGCTTGTCAAAGTTGGTTAAGACCAGAATACACAGGGCTCCGAGTTCCAGGCTAAGGATAAAAGCATCAGGGAGCCATTACAATCCTTTCCCCTTTTTTAGCGGAGTGGTGACATGACCCAAGTCAGAGTTTAGGACACATGATCTGGCCGTGGTGTTCGCGGTGGGACAGAGGTGGGGATATCTGGGGACTGGGAGTCACAGAATTACCAGGATGCTGAAAATGAAAAAAAAATGGAACAAGATAAGGCTAGTACAGAAAACCCACTACAAATAGGTGTAAACTTAGAAAGCCCATTGTTTCTTTTTAAGTGTAGGTTATATGAGGTTAAAAAGTAGACAATGGTAATGTATCAAAAACAACAACCCTCCAGATTTTATTTTCTACATAACGTGGATTCTCTGAATAGCTATCAGGTCATTTCTTAGTTGCTGCTTTTCAAACATCCCAAGGACCCAAGATTTCTTCCTCATCCTCACCAACCTGTGCACGTCTCGACTCAACTGTATCCCAGTCATCTATTTTCTCTCCATTCTCCATTGCTGCCTCGACTCTCCCGTTGTCCAGCAGCGAAAGGTTTGGTTTACTGCACACAGCAAAGGTGAGTTCTGCTGTGACTGTCTCTCCTAGAGAAGAGGCGTACACCCCCGTGCTCTATGCCAGAACGAGAAGCTGACGTCAGACGTCTTGGCTCTGAGTGCAGAGGCCGTACGTGCAGTGCAGTAGAGAGAAGCTCGGGCTCTGGAATTGGAGAGGCCTGTGTTCAAGTCCGGTTGTATCACTACCTGGCTGAGTGATCTTGGGCAAGTTATTCAACCTTTTGCAGTCTTGTTACCTCATCTAGAAAATGGGGCTAACAGTCGTAACACCTATCCCATTAGGTTGTTGTAAGCATTAAGTGAGGTAGTGAATTAGGATAATGTGGGACATTAGTATACTAATACATAGATAATAAATATCAATGTGAAGTCTCCTTACACAGAGTGAATACATGCTTAACTAGCCATGCATCTGTGCGGGAGGAGATTCGGCCAGGAGGTGACTCCTTGACCAGCTGTCACTCAGTGCTGCGGGTTCCTGGATCGTGTGCCTGTAGCAAGAGGTTGGTGGTATCAACACCCTATTACAAGGTAGCTTTGGCCCCAGTGCCTGTGTGGTCTCCTGCCTGGTAAACCAGGCTGGGCCACTTGTTGATGATGAAGATTCATAGGTCTGCTTGGTTTTCAGCTCTGAGTTCAAAAGCCTGGGAGCCCTGCTGGGTCCTCTCCCTGAACTGAGCCATTGATTTACCTTAGCCCTGGAGATCTGGTCAGTGTCACGGCTGGATCTGGCCCAGTAAGATGGGCCAAAGAGAAAAAATTCTTCCCAAGTGCAGGTCTGTTTCCCCTGGACTAAATGGATGTCCTA